TATATATATAAAAAAAATCTGTATGTATGTAGACTTCTAGCTAGTGCCAGAACTGGACATGTTCTGAACACCGCTAACGCATAACAACAGGGTTGAGGTCAGTAGTACATAACTGTACCAATGCTTTTAATTAAAAAACATAAAGGGGGAAGTGATTTTGACTTATACTTTTTGTTCAGTGTTCTGGTGGATAGAGGACTCACAGAGAAACCAGGAAATGCAGATTCATACTTTCCTGAGCAGGGACACGAACAAGTAACTTCCCCTTCCCAGAAGTATACACTGATAACCAGAGAGTGGCCTTCCTGTTGGCAGTCTCTTATTGTGTGCCGAGAGAGCAAGATTCCTGGGGAATGATCTACCAATTCAGGCAAGCATCAAGCCAGGCAGAAGGAAACTGCTCGGACCACAAAAGCAGCAAGCCTGTAGTGCTGCCTGAATCATCTTGTTGACAGATTCTTTGGTGCATCTTTTCAGTGTGCCTGTGCCTCCCAGAGTGCCTACTAATCAGATATACACAACATTATAGCCACCTAGATGGTCACCAGCTAATGTGCACAGAAAGAATTGCTCTGTTTTGAAGGCCAATGCACTTGTCAGTTGGCAGGGCTCATTGTTCAGAGCCAGTGTAAGGCATTTTCACTCTTGACTCTACTTTTATTAGAAAATTAATAACTTGGTAATCCCATGTGGTTTACACCTGGTCCTTGCTTTAGACCAGAGTTGATGGTGGGTGATTTTCAGTTGATAATGAGTTTGTGGTGACTGACCTTTGATGTGGCAAATAAAATATCCCTGAGCTGCTTTGAACGGGTATCAGTGCAGTGATGCGTTTCAGCACGTGCTTCCTTTGAGATCAAGGATACACTTAATCTAGAGATTCTATCTCTAAAGCTGGTACTCAAATAGAATGAAACCATTTCAGGGAGGGGAACTATATGCATGTCATGTTGCATTGTTACATTAAGCTTGGGACTATATTTCTGCTTCTGCATGGGTGTTGATTTTAAAGTGATTGTCATTGATCTATGTAATACTTATTCATATGCTTACTCTGAGAGCAGCTACTGATTCTGGTTTAATAGTGCATCATATATTGAGAAATGTTTCCAAAGAAATCTTAGCCATGTGGTTCACAGACTGTCCTGGTATTTAAAATAACTGTTCTATTTTGTGGGTTTTTTTGCTATTGCATCTGCAGACTATGGAGAGGCAGAAGACTCTTATACGAAGGCTCTGCAGATTTGTCCAGTGTGCTTCCAAAAGGACAGGGCTGTTTTATTTTCAAACAGAGCTGCTGCAAAAATGAAACAGGTGAATATTCTTTTTATTTCATTAAATGCCAGGCATGGCTTATATGACAAATGCAACAAAGGAGTTATTAGGGGTGCATAAAGGAGGACAAATGAATAAAGGTGTTGCAGATTCACAGTTGCTCTACTTCCTTGAGTTTTAAACACTCAATTTTCTTTCATTCTCTCTGTTTTAATTAAATTTAAAGTTCATGTGAAACAAATGTCTTTAAACATGTTTAAAGACATGTATTTGGTTGAAGTTGTAGCTAGTGTTTTTTTCTAAAAGTCTGCATTGCCATGTACTTGCCTTCATTTAATTGATTCAAATGCTTTAAGGCATGAGCAGAACTTCCCAACTATGGCTTTATAAATTCAGTTAGTCTAGTAGGACAGGCCTGTGTAGTAGGGCACAGTCTGGATAGAATAGCTGCAGCTTTCTTGGGGTTTCTATTCCTTGAGTCAGGTGCTGTTCCTTGTCAGGTGCCCAGATGCTATCAGAATCAGCAATATTAGGTAGCGTGGAAGGCATAGAACATGATCTGTCTGAACAGAAACCTTGAGTTCTTTAGAAAGAGGAAACTAAGAATTCAGGAGAAATTACTGCCTATTTTTGCCCTTGTTTTTAAGGTTAAATTATTATAGAAAAATAGCACAGTAATTCTCATCCTCAGTTAGCCCTCCTGCAAAAAAGCAACTTTCTTGCAGTTTTCCTCCAGTATTGAGACAGATGTGGCTCTGATTTAGAAATGTACCTAGCAGCCATATTGAGACATAAATAAATAAATTCTTACTCAACATTTTGTTGAATATTTTTGTTTGGCTAGAATTATCTCACTTGCTGTTGGGATACTGAATTGCTTGAGCAGACAAGGAAAAACAGAATAGTATCTGTAATAACAGATGATGGAACCTTTCAAATATGAAAGCTGTAGACTGAAAACCTCCTCATAATCCCGATGTTAACTTTTCGTATCACTGGGAAACTAATCCAATAAGATGATAAAAGGACTGTGCACAAACTAGTGTATCTCACCAGTATAGGTCTGTGGGACCTGACAGAGCAATACATTACTCTGAAGCAACTACCCCATTAAGTTTGTTCTTCCATACCTGCTCACTCATCTGCTTTGCACGACCATAAAAGCCTGTGCGGTGTTCTTCTCTGAGACAGCTTCTGTTTTATGGAGGAGAAAATAGTTCCTTGGGTGTAGAACCATCACTACTACTTAGATCAACAATACAAACACAGAACAGCCTGATTTTTAAATTATTATTTCTAAAGCCCTTTTGGTTTGGATGAAAGTAGGATCTCTGTCTCAGCTCTTTTGTTTGTTTGGGTTTTTTTTCTTGTTTCATTATAAGCAGATTGCCTGGCTCTCATCTTCCAACTGTGGTTGTCTGGGTGCACTAAACCCTGTCCCTAACACTTGAGACATGGAAGTCTCATGCATTGTCCCTTGTAGAGAGAGATGTCTTGGCACTAAAGGCGGTATCTGCTTTCCAAATGTCTCAGCTCGTACAGCGAAGAATTTATCTGGGACTCTTGGGAACCGTCTGTTGGCCAGGGGTAGAGGAGCTGTACCTGGGCTAAGCCAAGGCCTGCAGATGTGGCTCAGCCCTTTGCCGGCGGCCCCGTGCGCCTCGGGCACCGGCAGCCTCCCGTGAGGAAGCTGATCGCTCGCAAGGAGCTTTGCATCAGAAGCAACAGCATGGAAAGCCTTGCTTAGGGGAACATCACAGTTCCTTCCAAGGCCACACAAACCTTTTTGCTTACAATTCTAAATAATCTGTTTCCTAAGAAATATGACTTAAATACGGATGTTTTGTTTTCTAGGACAAGACAGAAGCTGCCCTAAGTGACTGCAGCAAAGGTATGTCTTTTTTTCCTGTGTGCTGCTCTTGTGCCAGATCTTTTATGCATAAGTGATGCCATTTAGTGCCTTACTGCAGAGCTGTAATTCTGGGCGTAAGGGTGTTTAAATAATTTCAAGAAAAGCTGTGATGGAAGACACTTGAATCTGGAATGATTTATAGTATTTTTTGCAAAATGTCTAGCATGCTTTTCTTGTCTACAATAATTTACTTTCTATTCTCTTGTTCCAGTAAGAATGCTGTTTGTACTTCTTTTTAATAGGAAAGTCTTTTTATTATGGAAGCTGTTTCTTTACACCTACTCTTTTAAACCCACTTCCCACCTGCCATTTCCCCCCAAATCTTGGTTTAATCCCCGATTCCAAAGAGCCATGAGACCATCTAGAATTAAAAGCATTATCAAGTCCCTTTTATGCAAGGCTTTTGCTTTGTCACAAGGGCTAATGCTCTCTTGTTCCTGTCCTGCATAGTTTTCTCTCTGCGACTTCTGGTGAAATCACTTCGGCTGCGCATGGCGTTATTGCTTCCACCCACTCACCCAGGCTCCAATATTTGTTAAACTCCCCGTGACAGCTGGGGAAAAAAAGTCCAAATTACCAATAAGAGAACTAATCCAATGGCTGCATGCCAGTACTGCTTGTACAGTAAATATGAGTTTGTACATGCTGAAAGTATTCTTGAAGGTAACGAATTCTAGCTGGTGGGGGTTTGCCTTGTTTTGGCGGTGGTGCATTTTGAAAAACTCTTCTGCTGATTTTGTCATGGCTGAAAGGGAATCAGTCTGCTTTGCAGCAGTGAGACTTAAACCTACCATCGCTCCATACTCCCCAGGGACACGGCTTACAAACTGCAATGCAACACATGAAGCACAGCAGAGCAATTCACTCTGACCTGCAACTTGCTGACTGTAGCATTGTCTTTGTCCTTACAAAAGAAGTAAGGTAGAATATATAGCTTGAAAATCCCAGATTTAAGTATCCTGAGAACCATATTAATGAGTTAGTAATTATAAAAAGGGCAGCCTTTCATACTTCCTCTTTCTATGATTCAAAACAGATGAAGAAATTCTTGAGAAATTACCATTTGCAGGTTACTGTTAAGTTTAGCATTCAGTCTTAACTGCATCTGTGAACACAGTCCTGTCTGCAAAGGCAATAAGGAAGGGAAAAGCTTAAATTCAGACAGTATGCCTCACTGCTAACTTGTAGGGCTAATATATCCATTTGTGGATTTCCAACCCAATTTTGACTGTGATATTCAGTTTCGAAGAACACCGGTTCTCCTGCTGTTTGTCTCAACTTAAACTTTGGTAAGCAGGGAAATCTTATGGTTAGCCATAGGCTTATTTAACTTTAGCTGTGATCTGATAATACAAACTTACTAAATATAAAAAAGGTGAAAAATATCTTTTAGGTCCTTAAAATTTCTGAAGCATCACGTAGAATCTCTGCATATATGCTATTCCAAAATTAAATGTTTGTGCATTATAAATAATTTCTGATAGTTTGTAGGCATTGAAATGTGATCATTTGCATTAGACTTGCACAGGCAGATGTATGCATTTTCTCTGTTATGACTTGGCTTTTAAGCTATGATTCTGCTTGATTAAAATCCACATTATAAAGATATCTATTAAGGATTTAATATACACTTAAGAATTCAATTCAGGACTGTTGTTATGTTTCAAGTAAAATACTGTGCTTTGTTTTTGCTCTGTAGCAGTGGAATTAGATCCTAACTATATTAGAGCTTTGCTAAGGAGAGCAGAACTATATGAAAGAACAGAAAAACTAGATGAAGCTCTGGAAGACTATAAGGCAGTCCTAGAAAAAGACCCATCGATTCATCAAGCCAGAGAAGCTTGCATGGTAAGCCTTTTCAGTAAACTTTGGTCTAACTTTAAACAAAGTTAAAAGTTCCTGTTTTTTTCCTATTCTGAGTGCTCAATGTTGTTTATGTAAGCAGCTTCATATGCAGTGGTGGTAACTTGGTTTTTTTCAAGTCTAAATGGTGTTTTTCTCATCTCATTTTATGTAAGGAAGATTACAAGAACTGCAGCAAGTTCCATAACAAGTCTCGGGTCCATAAAGCATAATCCTCTTTTTACCTTTCTAAAATGAGTGATAGTCAACTTGTGTTCTGAACATAGTGAATAGAGTGAATAGCATGCAGAATAGTATGTTGAACAGCATGGATGATTTTATTATATAATTTTGGGAATGGCAAAGAGATGGGATTCTATCAGTCTGTATCTATGGTTTTATGTATTTTACAATGTTGATAAGTTTGTTTCTTGATTTAGCTGTTTTCACTTTGTTGTGCCTTTTCATATATTGGCCACATTATCTTACTAATAGTTACTGAATTCTGCTATAAATCTTCTGAAAATTAGCCTTTCACTTGAAGAAAAAGGGACCTTGTGGTAGCAAAGAGAACTCTCTCCCGATTTAGTTAATTTCTTCGTTCTAAAAAAAATAATAAATTCTGCAGCTTACTGTGTTCCAGTGTCCACTTTCAATCAAATTACAAATACTTCAGGATTAAACATTTTTTGCAGAATCTTTGCCATTTCTTTGGCGTAAGGAAATGCTTTAAAAGCTTCCTTGGCCTGTGTCAGCTTGGGTGAAAAAAGGTAAAGACCTAGCACTTCCTGAAACCCCAGTCTAACATGTAAATGATCCCTACTCATTGGGGGTTTAAAGTCACTGACACAGCCTGCTGGTTTGAGGTTTTAAGTGACTCTTTGTGTAAAGTACCAGCAATGTTTTTTCTAGTGATATTTAGTATGTTAATGCTCAGTGTGGAAAATAGCTGTGGATTTGACAAGTTCAGAGGGTCTTTTCACAAGGGTTAGCAAGAAGGGAAATTTATTTCGTGCAGACAGCTCCTCTTACAGGCTGCTTGCTGTTCTTATTTTTGAAAAGAGGTTAATGAAGACTGTTGAAAAGACAAATATTGCAAAGATGTAGCCAGACAGCCTGTGATGTTGAAGGAACATGTGCCAGTGAAGAGTGGCCACTATAAAAAGTACAGTGGTGGTCACTTTTTATCAAAATGGGAGCTTCAGATCATGGTAGGTGAATGGTTTGCAAGCACCAGAGAGCCTGGAAAGAGCTGGCCATCTTCTGCAGGGGAAACAGGTGAACTCTTCTTTACTTCCACTTTAAGGTAAATGGATATAATTTAAAAAAAATAATTAAGAATTACAGAGGCACCCAAATCCATATGCCAATACTTGAGTTTATTTATATCTGGTTAAACTTTCAAAGGGCACCATTATTTTCTTTCAGCTTCACGTCAGTGAACCTGCAACTTATTCTGCCCCATAAAGAAAAAAATAAAACAATTTGCTTCAATTGCAGAATTATCTCTACATCCACTTTGAATATGTTGATGCAGAAACATTTTTGAAAGGCTTAATTTTAATTGTTTTAACTCTACATTTGGGAAAATAAATCAATAGTTATTTCTCCCCCTGACTTTCCCCATATTGTGGTGTTGTAAATGACAGATTAGAAACCATTTTTATAGCGTATTAGACAAGAAGCTTTGCCTGAAATTACTTCCCTTGGGAAAGGATCAGTTGCACTGATGGCAGAGAAATACTCTGCTTAACTGTGTAACTCCTGTTAGTGGTAAGGGTATGGTTTCACAGAACAGCTAAATTGATCCACTAGCTGCCTGCTGCTTACAAAGCTGTCCAGTTGCTTTCCTTGTGCTAGTGCCGGTACTAGCTGATGTCCAGCCCTACCCTGGGCATGACTGGTGCTGTGTAGGAGTTTGGCAGACAGCTAACTCTGAAAAAGGGAAAAACAGAAAAAAAGCCAGCTACCAAAAAGCCTCAAAGGAAGTACTTTCATATTGCCTTGGCTTTTTGCAGTCAGACAAGTCCTACTGCAAATGCTATTGAGAAGTAAAGAAGATGTGGTCAAGGCAGTGCAGGAGTTAGGGCTATCCCCTTTGTCAGCATCCCCTGACAAGGTCAGTTTACTGTACTGTGAAACAAGCCCCATCAGGGGGTTGCTTGCATCTTGTTGCATGCATCTAGTTGAGAGCAGGAGAGCACTTTATCATATAGCTCTTGGTAATGGCTTAATAAATGACAGGCTTGTCAAACATCATTACTGCGTGGGTAGTCAATGTGATGGGTCCATCGCAGCCTAGGAGAGAGTATTTGTGTTGGCCATGTATAGTCTCCTAGCTGAGACTATGGCTTATTTTATCCAGGAATTCAGCCAAGGAGTCTGCTGACATTTCTAAAGGAAGCAATGTGGGTTCGTTTCTGCAGCTTGTAGTCTTCTAGCATTACACTAGCTCCAGAGTGGGGAGTCTAGTGTGATCTAGACAGTTAATTGGTAAAATGGTATTAGTGTATAAGGAGTGCATTTTAGCAGCTCATCATAGAAGGAACAACTGTGAGGATCAGAGATTGTTATGAACAAGAGTCAGGACTCCACAGATGACAGAATCACGGAATGGTTTGGGTTGGAAGGGACCCTAAAGATCATCTAGTTCCAAATGCCCTGCCATGGACAGCAACACCTACCACTAGATCAGGTTGCTCAAAGCCCCATCCAACCTGGCCTTGAACAATTAGGATAGGGCATCCACAGCCTCTCTGGAACAAGCAACTGCTTCCAGTGTCTCACCACCCTCACAGCAGAGACTTTATTCCTAATATCTAACACTTGGGAACATTGTCATTAGTTGCTATAAAATGTAAGGAGTTTAAGATACATGTATTTTGGCTGATTGGAACCCCTTGAAAGCATAGATAATGTCCTTTATACCTCTTGCAAAACCACGATTTTCTTTCAGTGAGTATGCCTCTAATAGTCTCACAAGAGGCCTTGCTCAGTAACCAGCGGAGATCTGGGCTGGAAGAGAATTGTAAACGGTGCCGCTGTTCTTCCTGGCCATTTTTTCAGGAATGTTTTAGAACAATCAGCAATTTATACTTAAGTTGTGTAGCTGGGAAGTAAAGTTTGACTGTTACATATACCTTCTGCTCCTTGACCTCATTTTACTAGGCAGAGGCTTTAGGCTCATATGTGGTACAGAATGTTTTGTACAAAGTGCCCTCAATTTACACTGCAGTGGGATTTAGGACATTCTGCCCACAGTTGTTCTTTGTCCAGTTTCAGGGTAGAAGCAATCTGAAGCTTAAAACTTGAGACTGAAGCTTAAAACTCCCCTCTTGAAAAATTAAGGAAATACTGACAGCTAGCTTTACACTTTAAAAAATATTCATAATAAATCTCTAAATAATAATTGAAAAAAACAAACAAACACACACAATTCCAGCTGTTATATTGACTCCACATACGTGGTTAACATATATGTAGGAGACTAAGAAGCTTTGCCTTATTGTATGAAGTGCATTACTCCTTGCAGAAATATTGCAGCATTTTTTCCCCGTCACTGATAATGAAAATGATGCATCAAGAGAACCTGCAAATCAGATGTTAGAGCAAAACTTTCTCCTTCCTGTACATAGAAAATATTTCACATACTGGTTTAGGGAATGCCATGGTCTTGTTACATGACAGTTTACAAATATTAAAAACTCAGTAGTTCTTTACTTTGATTTCTGATAGGGTAGCTGCTTTAAAATTTCAGTACTGTTCTAGTTTCAGGAGTACAGTGGTAGTGTTTTGATTTAAATCTTAGTGTCACACATTTTAGTTATTTTTGACATCTTCAATGCCAAGTTAAAGAGTTTTAAAATGATAATGTTTTGTGGTCAACTAATCCCTATTGATGCCTTCACAATAAGCATTTAATTATATGGTATCAATCTTTAGGTTTTGTTTTTAGCAGGTTGTGTAACAGTGGTGTGTGAATTTTAGCTTCAATGCCGTTTTTGAGGGATTGGCAAGCCAGATAAACTGACCAAAAGAAAAGGTACTTTTGAGATAAGTACCACAGACATCAGATAAATAGCTCTCCTTACAGACATCTTTCTGTTGATAACTAACCTTGCAAATACATTTCTGGAGTGAGAAATTCTGAGTCTTTGGAATAGGAGTATTAAGACAGACAAAACATGGAGTATGTATTTCGGATCAAGGATTTGTCTTCATTTCCTGCTAATGCCCAGATGTGAGAGACACACGCTATATATGCCAAACTCATCCAAGAATCGGCAAATCTCACAACCACAATGCAAACTGAATTTAGAGCCTGGGGATATCTGCACATGTTTTCATTCAGGCAGCTTCAGTCCAGATCTGCACCCAACTTAATAAGCCCCTCTGGGTCAGCAGGAGTCAGATGAGGTCTGACTGGGCTAATTAGATCTGGCTCACTGCTAGTGATGCTGGGCCTGGACTGGTTTCAAGCTTAGCCATCCATGTATATCTGCATTCTATTCCATAGTACTCCTTTTTCTGGTTTGGGTTTGTTTTGTTTTGTTTTGTTTTTTCCTGGGGTATACTACCTCTGTTTCCCATCGCCGTAGAAAACAGACTGTATTAGTCTGTGCTCACCAGTGTCTCCTGCATTGAAGAGCAGGGGAATAGCCAGGCAGCCTTGCCAATGGCATATTCTTGAGGCAAACATCTTATTTCACTGTGGCAGTGATAGCGGAATGGCAAACCTGTCCACGATGACTGGAGCTGTAAATGACAGGGAAGAACGAATTCCACACCTGTTACCATAGTCTGCAACTGTAATTAATTAGTTTACTGATAGCACCATTACAGCAGATCTGTCTTATTTGCTATGACCTCCACAAGAAGAAACAGCATAGTTATGCATATAATTGCACCTGAACTGCCAGAATTATTCAGGAATAAGCATAGTATAAAGCTTTGAAATAGCACTTCTGAAAACTATGAAAAAGATGTATAAAAAGTGGCTGTCATTCGTAATATACTTTAATATTGTATTTAACTGATGTATAGAAATTGCAAGGTTTAAATGATACGATGGTGAATTCAGGTGTAGTGAATATAAAGTTCCAGTCAAAAATTATCATTACGGTCCCATAGCAAAACACCAGTATGCAGTAAGGGTGGAAGATGGGAGTCATAGTTGTTCTAGGCATATATGGGAGTCTGGAATTGTTAGGAATGCACAGAGACCGTACAGTTACATAATGCTTGTTACAGCCATTTAATACGTTTGTTTGTGATGGTGCAGCAGATCTAAACTGGTGGCAGCTCTGAGAAGGCATAAAGCACTTTAATGAACTGCTACTTGGACTATACCTTGCTCAGGATGAGCTGTTGGAGTTCCCTCCCCATGATGAACTGCCTGATCGAGGCCCTCATTCAGAATATTCTCTCCTTAGAACGGTGCTATATATTGTGTAGTAAGATGCTGCTTTACTACATCCTGAAGTTCATAGACAGTTAATTTGGTGATCTTTGATAAAATATTTGTACTTAGAAGACCTTTGTGTTTTCACAGGGCAGATCTCTGAAGTGTGATGCCACTGAGAGCTGACTATGGATGTTTTTGTCATTACACCTATATTTATGTTCAAAAGCCAAATGCTGTGCTTGCTTAGTTCCCCTAGCCTGTCTTACCAAATTTAATGATGCAGCAGAGGCTAAAATATACTTAATTGTAAGTCTTCTAAATTCCATAAGCTTTTCAGTAAAAATTCCGAGCAAACAGATCAGATCTGGCTTTCAGCAGTAAAAATGTGTGCCTATATGAAGCCTGCACTTACAAGTTAGGACTTACTGTTTATGTGGGCTGATGACATAGGATGAATTACAGGTTTCCAAAATAAGATGAAAGTCTGGTTTGACATAATGATTCTTTTTAAGCCATAAACAGTATATCCTGGGTTTGCATATGAAAGTTCCATTAGCTTAGCCTACGGTATTATTGAAACCATGGGTCTGATTCCAATTTTTATGTCTGTCCACAGCAATTACCTAGACAAATTGAAGAGCGGAATGAAAAATTAAAGAAAGAAATGTTAGGTAAGTAGCATGTACATATAACTTGAATAACAATCTTTATAGTCTACTAGGAAAATAAAAATGCATGAGTAGAATCTCTTGCATGAAATTTCAAGAAGGTAAATCTTAAAGGAAATACTTGTTCTGTGTTAAACAAAACTCTGATTTCATCGTAGTTCTCTAGTGCTCAGTTTCATCTACAGTGTTATAGCCAAATAATTCTCCCATATAGAAAAAGCTGTTAGTTAAATTTAAAGAAAGAATACTCAAGACCTTCTAATACAATTTACTATTAATGTATGTAAAAGCAGGGGAAAATGGTTTGAAACAGACCAACTGCTTTCCCCTTACCTCCCTGCAAGTAAACCTTCAGAGGCAACATTCCCAAGAAGGGGATAGACCAGGGTTTTCACTAACCCTTCACATGTTTACACAGAAGTCAACTAACTGTAGTAACCTAGCATGTTTGGTCTCGTGTCTGAAGAAATAAATTTGGTTCTTTTTGTAGCACTTCCAACCTATAGACCTCTAAGTCCTCATGTTTATCTTGACTTGTGTAGTATTTCAGTTCTATATGGAGGCTGAATTAGACCTACCTCGCGTTAGAAACAGGCATCTGGCCTTGCCAGGAGTGGAATTAGATTTCCTAACTGTGTAGCTCATGGTCTCTTGACTTTTTACGATTCTCTCCCAAAGGATACTATTGACTATACTTGTTTGTAGAAAAGAGAATTTAAATAATATATCTCATTTGAATTTATGTGCCCACATCATGTTGTATGGTATTGCTTGGATAATATCTGAACTGGATTTGTATATTTCAAAAGCGTAACTACTTAAATGAGATTGCTGAAGCAAGATTGATTTTAACGTGTAATATAAAGCACTTCCTTGCACCATGCAATGTTATAGTTAAACTCAGGGTTTTGGGAAGAACCTCCTACCCCAAAAAAGGCTGCTGTCAACATTGTCTACTGCCTCCCTGTTAACAAGGCTTGTTAATTCTTATAGGTTCAGACACTACATAAGCAAATCTGACATTCTGGTGCTTTTTAAAAAGAGTTTTTATTTTTATATAACCTTTTTGTTTGTACTGATCAGCAAACCCACACAAAAGAGCAAGGACAAATGCCAGTGTAAGACAGAGAAACTAGCTGTACCTAACCTGTTTCAGACATAGCTTTCAATAGTTATCTGTTTACTCATTTGGGGCGTGACAAGTAGTAGATGAAGTGCCATTTTAAGATGAGTAGGCTTTGAGGGTTTGGGATGGGAAAGGGGAAGACAGTGTTTTGCTATTCTGTGGAGAATCAGGTTAAATGAACACAGTCTGTCTGGCATACTGTAGCACTAATTCTTGAAATATTTGGGAAAAAGAGATTGTTTCTTACAATCTCAAGGGCTTACGCTGAAGCTGATGTTTTTCTTATTTTTTTGCTTGCTGTGCAGGGAGTCTGATTTGCTCTTGTTTTGTACCTGTTTTGACCTAGTAAAGTTGCAGTGGGGCTTTCTAGGGCTTTACATCATCAGATTCTGTTCCCACCATTGCACTTAGAACAAGCCATAAATAAAGACAGTTAAGTGTGATAGTGCTATAAATAAATGGCAAATACAGAAAATCTCAAGAAGGATCATCCACATTTGTAGGACATGGGATGGGTTTCAACACAAGGTAATATGAAAATAATTCCTGATCTTTTTTGAACTCTCCCTTTGTTACCAATGTCTGAAGGGCCTCACTAATCACAAAGGATAAACAAAAAATCCAGCTTTATAAACTGTTATTTCAAACCTTGTTCTATACTGCTAATTTTTTAGATTGTAGACTAGATGTGATCTTTTAAAAATGTGCTAATTCAGTGGCAGTTATGAACTGGTCTTTTGGGAACCACTTGAGGCCGTTTATGTTGGGATCCTCAAGAAAGGAATCCCTGCTCAAAGATGTTACATGCAAGGAGATACACTGATGTTGACTGGTGTAAGCAGCCAGAAAAAACAGATTAAGTGTGTAACCCTGTGTTCATCCATTACCTTTGCATGTGACAGGATCCATATAAACTGTTGTGTGTATAGTTAAAATTGACACAGGATAAAATTCTGTGTGGGATATTTTATGCTTAGCACTGCTTGTGATCACTAGGGTAATACAAACTGAGGATTTTTTTCTAGAATACATTCTCTTAATAGAACACTTGAAATTAAGTTTGGAATATAGGTAGTAACCAGACTAATTTTTTTTTAAGGTTATATAATTTATAAAATTCCTGTATCTTGTCGGTAAAAGAGAGCAGTGATGTCACGGATCTAACAGTGGGGGCCTGGGAAGGAAATACTTGGCAAGGTTTAAAAACTGCTGCTGTTCTGAGGTCAAGGAAGAATGCTCACAGCTGAAGGAGGGAGATTAGAGTGGAGCTCTGAAAGGACTGAAAGACAGACAAACTTGATATAGTCTGGTGGTTAAGACATTTCTTTGGATTGTTTATAATGTATTTGTTTTAAGCTGTTTTTGCTATTTATGAGCCAAGGGCTGTGTCAGAAGAGACAATTGCTTGTGGAAATCTGTTAGGAGAACAGTGTCGGGTGTGCAAGGGTTCATTCTTTACTTCTCCCAGGGGAGTCAGCTCAGATGTCTGGTTTGTAGCCCAGATTTTTTGGTTCCAGGAGAGCAAGTCAGATGCATCCTAATAGTTCCAGGTAGGCCTGGTTCAGGAGCACTGACACTAAACTTAATCACCAACAGCATCTTGAAAGCATGTCACAGTTCATGCTTTGGCTCCTTTGAAGTTTGAATATTGAATTGAATTCTTATTTTAGTGAAAGAATTAGCCAGTAATGTGGTTTATCTAGGCTTTTATTCTTTCAACTAAAACTAAGTCCTGGTATACCTAACTAGCACTGTCATGAAAATTGGCGCTGTGTACAAAGAAAAGAAAATAAATGGAGTGCATCTTCCTCCCACCCCAAGTGCATTTCCTGTTTTCCAGTGCTGCAGCTCGTTACCACATAGTTTGTCAGATGCTGAAACCACTTCTTAAGTGATTGTGTGTAAATAAATCAGAGTACACATTCTTGGCTGGATTTTTCTTCCAGACTACCTAACTATGAATTCTTTTGTGTGCAAGTGGGAGTGCATGTGATTGATGAAGTCGATGTCACTGGAAAAAGCCCATTTTTTTGCCAAATTAAGCCCCTTTCTGCTATGTGTTCTGCAAGGGTCTAACTTCTCATCTTTTCCATTCAGCCTTCGCAGGTTAGTGCTGCCACTTGCCACTGGAGTTTGCTCTGTATGAACTAACATCTGAGTTTCACATTAAAGAAAGCTTAACTTACAGCACACTTTGAAAGGAGCTTTTAAATCCCTGTAGTTCTTTCTTTTTATACTTCTGTGAGTGTCCTCTGCCTTAGTAATGTCCATGCCCAGGACATGGACAGACACTGACCATTTTCTCTCTTCATTCCTGTTCTGACTTTAAAGCCAAAGATCTCCAACTGTTGTGCAATAAGCTAGTCTTGGTTCTGTTATTACTGTGATACCAGCTCCTTTGGGGAGAAAGTATGAGAAGAGGAGAGGTTTGGAATAGTTTTAGCAAGATTTAGCAGCTTGAGGGCTGTGATAACAGTAGAGATTTCTGCATAGCTACAGGGGAGCTAAGGATATTTGATATAAAAAAAAAAAGGGATAGAACGTATTCCAGTCTTTGTAGCACATTATATACATACAGATTTCATCAAATCTAATTAAAAACTATTGGGACTTTCAGCTTAAGTTATAAATGTGTGCATTCCAGAAAATAGTGAAATGTACTTGATTATCAGTGTGATCAATGGGAAAGCCTATCAGAGCCTATCACCTGGGCCTCTCTGCCAATAAAGAGATATTTCCAGCTACTTGAGATCAGCAAAAATATTTATTAGTCTTAGTGCCTAAAGAATTAGAGTATTCTTGATAGTGAAGGTTATGTTGTATTTGCAGCTAAGCTGCTAAACCCCAATACTGTATATAGGGAGGTCACATTAAATAGTTCAAGCTAGAGCTAATACACGGTAGCTTTTAGTTCAGCCCTCACCATTTAGGGATGGGAAAAGAAATTGCCCTTGCTCTTTTTAATTGCTTAAGAAATTATGTTGGTAATACAGTGGGTTATACAAGACCTCATCAGGAAATTTCTTTTACCCCAAAAAAATTCTTCAAACAAACAGTATCTGACTGTTCAACTTTCAACCACCACATTAACACTAGCAACTATATTATTTGCACAAAAACTGAAAAGCAATTAATTTTGGCTCTTACATCTTAATATAAATTGTGAGAGAGCTTTTTCTGCATCTGTCTTTTGCAAAAAGGTGTTACACTGCAGTTTAGGTGAGTAGTGTCTCCCAGACTTTTGAGCCCTAAATTGATTTTTACCAGTTAGTTCTTGTTAACCTCTGAATATTGTATTGCTGAAGAAACTTAACACGCTGGAGTTGCAGTCGGAAAGGAGAAATAGGCTCTCTAAAATGTAAAGAACAAGATCTAAGAAAATACAGTGTCAGAGAGGGGAGTGTGACCCTGCTCCGGGACAAGTGAGTGTTTGATGGCTGAGAACTCGCAGCTGAGTCACAGCTCCACAGGCCTCTTTCCTTCCTTCAAGCACAGGCTCTGTTTGAAGAGAGCTTTTCTTTGGGGGGAAGGGGAGGTTGGACTTAACTACAGGTCTTAGATTAGGGATGAAAGCAGAGTGGGGGAGGAGGAGATAGTGCTTTCCTACAATGGTGGCTTTATGTGCTCCAAGACAGCAGGAACAGGGCTCGAGTTCCCAGAAAAGGCAAGGCTTGCTTCTCTTTCATTAACAATTTATTACACGTGCCTGCACCAAAAGGCATTGCTGCAGTATGTGGATTTAACTGATAGCACAGGAAGGTGACTTGTGACTGTATTGTTTTAATTATTCAGTCGCAGTGATAGGAAGAAAAAAGTATTAAATATATCACAGGCTTTAGTTTCTCCCAAAGAGCTGGCCTAGCTACAAGCAGGAATACCAAGGCAGTTGTTCTGTGTTCATAGGCTTTGCTGTGACCAGAAAAGAGCCATCATACTAACTCCAGTTAGAAAAGACCTTTTACAGTTTCTTCAAACAGGAAAACTCATCTGCCTGCTCCTGAGCCGGCTGCGGTGCCTGCACAACTTGTGAACCATTTACAGCTGACTGTAGCAATACCAGACTATGCCAGGGTTCTTCCACCAGTAGAAAAAGACACTTCTCACCCCAAACCTGAAGCAAAGCAAGGACCAAATGAACAGTGTTATGGCTTTATAACAAAAATGCTCTTAGGCTGCAGTATAGAATCATAGGATCCTTTAGGTTGGAAGGGACCTCCAAGATCATCAAGTCCAACCATTGAGCCATGAGGGCTCTAAAGTCCTCTGCTAAAACAGACCAGAATCTGTCAGGGTTGGAAGGGACCACAAGGGTCACACAGTTCCAACCCCTCTGCCATGAGCAGGGACATGATCAGGCTACCCAGAGCCTCATCCAGCCTGGCCTTAAAGACCCCCAGGGATGGGGCCTCAACCACCTCCATGGGCAACCCATTCCAGGGTCTCACCACTCCTATGGTGAAGAACTTCTTCCTCATGTCCAGCCTGAATCTGCCCACTTCCAGCTTTGCCCCATTCCCCCTAGTCCTGTTGTTACTCGATATCCTAAAAAGTCCCTCCCCAGCTTTCCTGTAGGCCCCCCTAAGATACTGGAAGGTCACAATAAGGTCACCTCGGAGCCTTCTCTTCTCCAGACTGAACAGCCCCAACTCTCTCAGTCTGTCCTCACAGCAGAGCTGCTCCAGCCCTCGGATCATTCTGGTGGCCCTTCTCTGGACACGCTCCAGCAGGTCCACATCCCTCTTGTAATGGGGGCTCCAGAACTGGATGCAGTACTCCAGGTGGGGTCTCACCAGAGCAGAGTAGAGGGGGAGAATCACCTCCCTCGACCTGCTGGCCACACTTCTCTTGATGATTAATAGTAATTTATCTTAACAAAGGTGTAGCTTAAAAAAAAAAAAGAAAAAAAACCTACCACACAACACCAAAACCACACCAACCAGCACGAGTACAGAGCAGCTAATCCTAGGTGAGCTACTCACCAGAATGGCTTTGGCCAGATCACTCAACCACCTCATCTGTTAATCCACACAGGAAAAAAAAAAAAAAAAAATCAAACTGAAGAAAAATTCTGTCTCACCAACTAGCTGCTTTTGTAGGGTAAGGTTGTCTTCCCCCCCAGGCCCCTGTGTTCCCAAGTTGACTCTCAAAGACCAGAGTTGCTTTAAGGTAGTTACACAAACATCTGGAGGATACCCAGTTGTGAGCCAGCACTTTGGCATATTTAGCAGTACCGTAGTAATGCTGTTAGTTTCTTCATGCAGGACTGAGTTGTTCCTTGGAATAAAACGTTCACACTCTTCCCCAGCTGTTGTTTCTTGTTGTATTTTTTTGTGAGTGTGTTCAAAAAAGCTCCAAGTTGATTTTTAGAAATGCGATTGAAAAAATAGCATATTTTGGTTTATGTTGATGGTGTTTCACCTGTCTTGAACTGTTGGCAGACTGTAAGAGGGAAGGGCCATACTTCCATGGGGTAAGTTCAGACTTGGGTAGATCTCTGGTTTGAGCAGGCTCTCAGGCCTGCAGTGTCAAGCAAGGCAAACCTCTCGACCTGGCTGTACTCCCATTTGTGCAGTATAAACACTGCTTGTCTCTTTCTGTGAAGAGCTTACACAGTTGCTCCTTGTGTTTCTGTACTTCTTTATCACTGCTGTGAAGTTACTGCTTCAGTACGGCTTAGCAACAAAGCCTGGATTAAATTCTGGCTGGTGCATTGTAGGGAGGAGACTTACTTAACAGCAGTAACTGTGATGGCTCTGCTGGGCACAAACAGGGTTTTCAGATAAACAGAAGTAGATTCTAATATGCTAGTTTAGAAATAGGAATATGGGTGAAGATGACTAGAATACCAGAGATGTTTCTCATGACTTGATGTGACCTGGTGAAAGCACACACGTGCAGGTAGAATAGGTGTGGCATTTGCACACTTTCGGTACACGGCTGTGACTCCTTCAGGTGCTCAGCTGGATTTCCTGTGTGCCAGCTGTTGTTGGTGTCGCTTATTCCCCACCATGTGCATGCACAGAACTCCCAGCAAAACAAAACACGTTGAATCTGGTGTGTAGCCTGATGATGCGAGCCTACGGTAGGCTTCAACTTGTCCAAATTTCTCCTGTTTGTTCTTTGGGAAATAAGTCAACAATTTAGTATTAAAGCCAGGAGGAAAGGAATGTTTTTCTTGGAAATCAGACCATCTTTCTCCTTTGTCTTGTCATGCCAGGCGCTCAGTTAGCTTTTGTTTAGCCAACATTGAAGTTTTTACTTCTGCTTCTTGTTTAATTATATGTATTTTATCTATTCTATCATCTGTATATAAAAGGTTTTTTTAAAAAGGAGGTCCTTTTGTTGCCCTTCCCCTTCTATAGATGGTAGCAAGATTAATCTTCTAGAGTCAGAAGGCATGTATGATAAATACATACCGAGAGAAGCCCTTAGATTTTATTAAATGCCATAGCCTATGCATGTTTAACAACGCTTGTTAAATAAGAGTTTAGAGCTCTTAGTAGGGGTAAGTTACTCCTGGAGAACTGTAGTTTTGAAATGTTACAATGTAGTTAATGATGTCATCTCACATGACATGCTGAGTGTTTTTACAGCTAAAGTGGCACTAAATTTGTACTGCTTAGTTTGCAGATGGAAAGAGCTGGAGGATTGAATTTGTTTTATTTATCCTTATATCAAATACAGATTTCAAAAGGGATTTTTTATCATTATAAATGAGAAGTTTGAACTTTGGCTTTCATTATGTCTTTCAGTAGTCTAAGAAGCTGGGTATTCTAATATTCTTGATTAGTTTTTAGAGCTGGAGCTGCATCAGAAGCGACCAGAACTGAAATGTGTTTAAAAATTGAATGTGGGCAGCTGTCACAGTTATATCTAAGCATAAGTACAGGGGAGACCAGTGCTTTGTTGTGTACTGTTAAACTCTTGCATCTCAAGAGCTTATAACTGAGGAAATAAGGTGCTTCTGGGCAGTTACAACCACATAGCCAGGACTGCAGCTACTGCCTCTTCATCAGAGCTGCCTGACAAACATGATGACCTGTTTTTAACCCCCAAGGCTGACAGTGACTACATCACAATTTGGGATTTTTTTTTTTTTTTAAATTCATGTTGAGACTCTAGACATTGAACAAATTGCAGAGATTTTTACAGCATTACCTTAATTGGTAGATAAATAGGTAGAGCTGGACTGTGTAGCTGAGCATAACTCAATGGGAATTTTCCCTCTGCTTAATACTTAACATGTTATCTCTCCTTCTCATTGTAGGCAAACTGAAGGATCTTGGGAATTTGGTTCTCCGTCCCTTTGGCCTGTCAACAGAAAATTTTCAGATAAAACAGGATTCATCAACTGGTTCATACTCCATCAATTTTGTTCAAAATCCAAACAACAACAGATAACATTAATTCAGTCTAGTTCTGCTGGCTTTCAGGCTTTGTGACCATGTGCTTGCACATACCAATAAAAGGATTCAGCAAACATTATTTGTGCTCCCCAAGGGAAGATAAGACTCAAGCATATTTATTTCCCTGCTTGTGAAATTATTTATAATGTGGATGTAAAGCAAGTCATTTGACTTCTCTTAGTGATAACTGTGTCCAGTGTGGGATATTTTTTTTTTTCCCCTTGCAGCGTTTGGCTTATCCAACAGTCAGGTTCATTCTTTTGGCCCATTCAATGCTGGCAACAAAATTCTAGCAAGCAACTTAGTTGAATCAAAATGCTGATGCCGCTGTAGCCAAGTGTTGTGGTTTAACCCTAGCCAGCAACTAAGCCTCACATGGTGAGAGGGGGCAGAGAAATGTAGAGTAAAAGTGAGAAAACTCATGGTTTGAGATGAAGATAGCTTAATAAGCAAAGCAAAATCTGCATGTGCAAGCAAAGCAAGACAAGGAATTCATTCACCACTTCCCCTGGGCAGGCAGGTGGTCAGCCAGCTCCAGAGAGCAGGGCTCCATCACACCTAGTAGTTACCTGGGAGGATCAGCAACTCTGAGGAGCCCCCTCCTTCCTTCTTCCCCCCAGCTTTTAATTGCTGAGAATAATGCCATGTGGTCTAGGATCTCCCTTTGACCAGCTGGGGTCAGCTGTCCCAGCTGTGTCCCCTCCCAGCTTCTTCTGCCCCTCAGCCTACTCGCTGGTGGGGAGCTGCCAGAGGCAGAAAAGGCCTTGACTCTGTGTAAGTGCTGCTCAGCAGTAACAAAAACATTCCTGTGTTACCAACAGTGTTTTCAGCACAGATCCAAAATGTAGCTACTGTGAAGAAAATTAACTCCATCCTAGCCAAAACCAGCACAGCAAGAACAAACCTAATGGTGTTCTGGGGAATTAATGAATCTGGCAGAAGCACTTCTCCATTTTCAGCAGGTGGCTATGGCTGACAGCATGCATGGAAGCAAGCCGGCCTCTTCTGTGGAGCAATTTTTCTTTCTAATAAAGGCTTGGTATTTCTGTTTGTTTGGTTTGTGAAGTTCTTGCTTTATTTGAGTCCTTCCCAGGGTGGTATTGTTGTTTAAAGCCCTTATAGCCATGCACAAATAACATACTTGCAAGACATTTAATTTGAAGCATTTTAATTTTTTTGTCTCACCTCTAGCAGTATCAGTAAATTAACTTCACACCATCCTTATGCCACAGTTTGTTTACTCTTTATTAATTTTTATGAAGGCAACAAGGAAATTTTGTGCTTTTCTCTCTAATTTTATGGTACCATTGCAAAGTGTGCCATTGAATTTTCTTCTCTGAGAATCATTCATATTACAGATATCCATAATGGCAAACAAGTATGTGATGTTAAACTTGGTTGCAAAAGACCATAGTATACTAGGCCTTGAGGACTTTATCTGTTTATCTATATAGATGGTTCTGAACATTCAGATGGTGGAGAAGTGGTGTCTTTTGTAATTACTACTTATTGGGTTTTGTATCAATGCTGAAATGTTCACGTCGGAGGCAGATTTCAATACATGATTTAATTAAATAATTAGTGGTGGCTGGCTGTTGGCTAGTGGTTGTCATTTTGAATTTATTTCAGGAAGTTGCTTTGTGTGTATTTAAGGACTGAAATTACAGAGCTCCCATCTTTATACCACAGTGCTTGAAAGTAATTGTCTCAAGCTAAGGCATTCTTGGTGTTGTGGATGAGGTTTTGTGACACAATCCAAACTCTGTCCTGCTGCATTTTTAGTTTTGACTTTGTGGTTACCTGATTGTAAACTATCTCAAATCAGCAGTGAGTGCGTATTGAGTCTTAGGGGAATTAAAATGTCATGGTCAAAAGAAGAGAGAAGCCCTAATTCACAGTGAGACCTGTGCAGCCTTTAACATCTTCTGCATAATTAAAATGTCACTCACTTAAGTCAGAAACAGCCTCTAGGATTTCCACGTGCTGAAAGTGTAACTATGCCATGCTTTGCTGGAGTAAAGTTTCTAAAGTGTAAGGCTGAATTTCCTTTTCTAACAAAGTTTGGGTAAACGGGTAGATGTGTGGATGGGAGGTTTCAAAGAAAGATTTTGCTCCTCAGAGCAGCCCCAGTGCTACTGGAGAGGGGTTTGCCAGGCAGGGGCCGGGGGTGTTGGACTCCAGGACCCAGTCCCTGGGGGTGTTGGGGAGCGGGCTGGCAGGAAGGTGCTCACAGCCGAGAGGCCGGGCAGCTCCAGGCAGGCTACAGTTTGTCACTGCACTCTGCTTTCAGAACCGAGCTCTTCAGGCCCAGGGAAGGCTGATGGGTTGGGCAGAGTCCCGGGATCAGTATCTCACCTGGAATGCTACAGAACAAAGGTGCCCGAGCTGCTTCAGAGGAGCCCTGGGCAGAGGCGGCCCAGGGCGGAAGCTCTTAAGCTTGGCTTGTGCCCGGACTGAGGCACTCGGGTCCGTATGAATCTGCTCCCGAGAGCTCCCGGCTCGGCAGGGGCTGGTGGAGGGGTCGGTTCCCGGAGGCAGCACAGGCCCTGCAGGGAGGGCAGGTCCTCTGTGCCTGGAGCCAGGCACTCCTGGCCCTTCGGCTACAGTCGCTGACCTCCCACACGGCCTGAAGAGTGGGGGAAGAGCTGTCTGGGCTTCTGTCTCAGCTGCCACCAGCAGCACTGGTCCTGCATCACTGCACGGGAAGCAGCTTAGGTCTGGGCACTAGGCTTCACTCAGCACAACATAAACACACACCCTTGGAACAGGTAAATGGAACCACTTCATTATGACCAATTAATTGCTATCTTGCACACACTGTGTGTGTCTGTTACTTACCTGTGTATGGCTGTTGTGCAAAGTTATAGACAGTGGCTTTTAGCAACCTGCTGCTCGTCTTGCAGATGAGTTCACTGGCAGATTTTCTTCCTTCCATTCTGTTCCTGCTTCACACCTTTTAAGGACTGGAGGGCTGCAAATATGCCTTCTTGCATGGAGGCTGCTTAACTTATTGTGGAAAATGAAAGCACAAGTCCTTTGAGAAACTACTACCTGCTGTGCAAACACCGTATCAAGTTAAGTGTGCAACTGCCCTGCTGGAGGCCTGGTATGTCTCTGTAGTTGTAAAATGAAGGAAAGAACAAATGAAACAAATGTGTTGCAGCCAATTTGCTTTCCACACTTGTGCTTATAATTTAATTGTATTGTGTGAAAGAGGTGGGTTTGTGTCACTGGAGGCTGGGCACAGCATTACGGAGGACTCTGATCCATGAGTCATACCTACACAAAGTGACACTCTCCACCTAAACCAGAAAGCTCTGAAATGTATTAGCTGCCATTACAGCAAGTTCTCCCTAGGCAAAATTCCAATTAATATCCCGAAAGAAGTCCTTTTGCATTGTCCAAATCCTGAACAATTTAATCTATTTAGCTTTTTATTTTTAAGGGATTCTCCTTTCTTTCTAAACTCATCTTGTTTCTGTCTAAACTGCCACCAGAAAGGTAATTGGTACTTCCTCCTGGTGTAACTGGCACAGTCCCACTGCAGTGCCAGGGTGTTTTGAATCACATGTGTTGGGCTTACAACTCCTGATAGGAAAAAATTGTTGTATGAAACATGATTTTTAAATAGAAGTGCTGTCACACCAAGTTCTTCACTCATTTGTTCCGATAGTTACTCACCCTTCTTGTAACAAGCATGTGCCTTTTCTTTCCACTTTCAGTTGTCTGTCCTCAGCTCCCAGCCTTAAAACCCCAAAACATTTTAGTACCTGGCCTTTTCTGCCTGAACATGTTTGCATAGTGATGAAGGGGCCTGTTGCTCTTCTCCATAAGCTGAAGAGACAGGGCTGCTTTAAGTCTCTCCCTACAAAAAACTTTCTCCAGGAGTTCCTTGTCTGTGTCTCAGACCTTCTGTTTTTTGACATTTAGGAAGGGACATCAGAACTGACACTGAGATTTAGTTTCTGTTGTAGATAGTTATCAGTAAATACTGTGTAGAGTGCCATGCCATGGGATGCATCTTTATAATTAGACTTACTAAGCCTGGTTGAATGACAAGGTCTATTTTTGATGGATTTTAATTGCATGTTTGCCTTTAATTCTTCATTAATGGATTTTTGATCCTGTTTTCAGATTCCTATCCCTGATGTCCAATTAACCAGCCTGTATCTACCTGGGTTGTCATCTTTGCCCTCTGTTGTTTCACTGATCTGTCTCTGTATCCAGAGCACATTAAAAGCAAAGCGGGTCAGCTGGTTGGCCATTTTTTGGTGAAATAGCTTCTCTTCAGTCCTGTTGCTGTTTGGCCTGGTTAACAGGCCCGAATAACAGAATTTAAATTTGGGTAGATGTGCATAGGTCCCTGGGTAAATACAGATCTGTTGGTCTGTAACCACCAGGACACTGATTTTTGCCTCTAGACATTGGCTCAAAGTAACTTATCCAGGATCTCATATTAGAAAGCCCTTCTAGAAATAATTTTAAGAAACTCAAGAGCTCCCAGCATGACTCCAGCAGTTTATCTTTTCATTACAAGAGTGCTTGAAAAGTAGCTCATCTGTTTTCTGTTAGTTGAGCTTTATCATCATACTCCTTGATATGTGCTCAGTAGCCACTTTAGTCTATTTAAAATTGCCACTGCTTCTTCTTTCCTCTACTTCCTCTACCCTTCCTGAATAGGTAATACCCAGTAATTGCCTGTCCAGTCACTTAAGGCATTCCACTACATTACCATGTTCTAAAGCTTGTATCTTTATTTTTTGCTATTTGTGAGGCTGTGCAAATGTTCTCATTTTACAGGAATACTAGGAATAAGAATGAGGAACCAGAAACCTCTATGTGCTCACTGATAATTCAGTATGAGTTATTTGCAACATCACATTTCACATTATATCACTTTTGTTACCTCTGCTTCAGGTGTGATGGGAGCAGGATACCCAACAGAGACGACGTCTTCACACCCCACTTCTGTGCCTCCACTTAAGCAAGCTCCACATCCTGAATCAAACCTGGACAGAGAAAGTTCAGAGTCAGTGCTTGGGTTAGCACAAAACCTAAAGTACTAAACTCCAGCAGGTGAGCTGCCCCAGTAGGGCTTGCATGTAGGACTCAGCCTGCTCAAGATGACCTTCCCCATGGTGGAACTCTCCATGCCATAAACCCAAGATGTGCAGTGAAGTATGGCCAGTCCCAGCATCTGT